AAGTCTGCTCATGAGCCTGATCCTAAGGCGCGCAACCCTAACAAAATAAAAAGTCCTGGTGAAGAAGTTGTGGTTGTAGAAAAATAAAGTCGCAACGAATAGGCCAGTTCAACAAGGAGAAACCCCCCCCCCTAAAAAAAAACGAGGCGATCGCCCCCTGGCAACATCCTTTAGAACTTAATCCCCAACGCCCACTGCACAGGATATGATCACCAAAGTATGAAAATATCTTAGTCTCAATTCATGCATTATTTTACGTATTATTATTATTAGTGCCTTACTGAGGTACGAATCGGTTTCACTTCCCGATTCATTTCCCTAACGGTAAACATTATAATAAAAGATCCCACACTTTATTTCCTTTATCACACAAAATAAATACACTTGAGTTGTGTCGCTACAAAAAAGAAAGTATTTAAAATCAGCTCGTACTCAATAAATGTGAAAACCACCACCACCACCAACAACAACAATACATTGACAATCCAATATATACAAACTAGGGCAAAAAACAACAACCCTAAAACAAACCTTAAAGTAGTTATTTTTGAGCATAAAGCCGCGTCCACTCTCGCGCCGTTTCTAACGCGTCCGCCTCATTTCGCTTCCAGTGGTCGGCGACATCGTTGGCTAACGGATCATCCGGGTTGGGGCTGCTCATGAGGATCTGAATCGACAGGAGCACTTTATTAATCAGCAGCGCGGGCGACCACTTATCCTTGATGATATCCAAACAAATCCGGCCAATCTTATCCACATTCGGGTGGTATATCTTCGTCAGAAAGCGAACTTTGGGCGGCACCATCGGATAATCCTCCGGGAGGAAAAGTTCCAGATGGAAAGTACCCCCTTCATAGCAGCTTTGGGGGGGGCCTCGGATGATCACCTTGAAATAGCGGGGGTTATCGCGCATCGGGGCTGCTGAGATGCCGGGTGGGCACTCACGCTGGAGCTTTTCGGTTTCCTTCACGATACGCGTCGTTAAAGCCATATTTTCAATATACTTATGGATGTTTGGATCTCTATATATAGAGAGAGAGATCGCGCGCGCTCTCTCTATATATATCTATTAGTTGGAAGTGAAAAAAACTATTACCTTTAAAAAGGATTTCAAAAGTGTTTTTGGGTGGTATTTTTGAACCCTTGCTGATAACGGTATGAAATGAAGAAAGAAAATAAATCACAAGTTGATAGGACGCAGAGAGGTCGATTCAATCCCACA